CTTAATTTATCTCTTGCAAAATCCTTGTTTTAAAAATCATCGAAAACAATTAATTCTCACGAATTCCAACAGCAACTGTACTATTTCCTTTTTTAAATGTACAAACATTTTTGTCTGTTATCATTATTATACCTTTATCAACGCATGCTCCACGTGAAAACAAATTTACTTTGAGTTCAGGTACATGTAAAACATTTGACAAATAACTGTCAACTCATTTTTCGCCAATTTTTGCTTGAACATATATATTACCTTTACCAATAGCCATAATATATTTACCATCACCAATACGTACTGGCAATTGAATCTTGAATGACTCATTAATTCTGATCCACTCTCTTCTACTGGTCATGTGATCACTTGCACCGGAGTCCACACACCATTTATCACAATCACTAATTTTGCTTACCAGTGAATTAACGCCCAATAGTGCATTACCAGAATTGGATTCGTTTTTATTCTTTCCATCTTGTTCTTTCTTCAAAATCTAGCAATCACGTTTCCAATGACCTGGGNTTTCCAATGATCTGGTTTCTTACAAAAATTGCAAATTCCTGGTTTTCTATCATTATTTTGTTGACTTCCAAATTTTGAATATTTTTTATTTTTGCGTTCTGAACGTTTTTTTCGCCGCAAATGCACTATTTTCACCATTATTTTTCTGGATTTCATGGCCATTACTTTGTCTTGTTTCCTCTACCATTATTATATACAAATTAAAAGTGTGTGAAAGGTTATTAAAATATAAATATCTGTATTAAATTCCTTTTATGCAATTAAAATAGACTGATATTAGTTTTGCAGCAAGCACTTATTTATAATAGTTATAAATATATAATGTTTTAATTATTAGAACAATATATTTCCACTTGAAGGTTAAGTTAATCTCAATGTTGTCTCTAATGAATAAGATATAAATTTAGATGTCGTTATTCAAATTTTTATTCATCAGGTTCTGTCATCTTAAATAATTTTTGATCCAGCTAATATTAAATGTTACTTCTTCATGATTGCCACAAATTAAGTGTTTTCAAATTCCATGATTTTCCAGTTAATAAAAAAATATATACTTGGCTTAAGAGGCATATATTTGGAGGTGTGTTTTTATTGGCCATTCCCATCATTTTTATTATTCTTTGTTTACTCATTATAATATTAGAAACCAGTGGAATTGAACTTAAAAAACACTTTTTAATCTACCTCTATTACCTAAGAGTCGTAAATATACATCTATGAAGTGATTTGTATACAAAAACCTTCAACTCATTGTTTTTAATATGTAAAAAAATATATAATAGAATGGGAATCGAGTCTCTAACCTCTCTTTTACATAATCTAAATATATTATTAATTTTGAAAAAGTCCAAGATAAATCATAATAATCCCTGACATTTCAAAATTTCCCAAACTTGTGTCAATCATTTTTTTACAATTCTTGGTTAGAGGTACAGCTTGTTTTGGTATTGTGTATGTAGTCCACTCGTACTACATACCCTCTATGTTTTAAAACACTTACAACTCAATTTGTACTTATCTTTAATCTGTTGCTGACCTATCAAAATTTCTTTTAGGAAATGTGTTAAAAAAGGCTACTTCGAATTAAAAAAAAAATTTGATATAAATAATGAAAAATATTAGTTAACATAGTCCAAAACAATAAAAATTGTATATATATATAAAAACTTAAAAAATTTAACACAAAATGCTTGCTAAATCAAATTATTAAAAATGTCAGAATTTGTTGGGATACATGTATTTATTAAATCTGACATTAATTTAATTTAATCGTGATGATTATTGTTTAGAATGACAATATTTTTAGAAGAATGTAATAATTTAATCCTTATTTTGCATTTAATATTTCTCAAGGCATATTTTTATTATTTAACATACATGATACTAATATCGATTTCTCATATTATTTTGGTGTAATTGTTAAAAATGATATGTTAAGATATTAATTTGTATAGACTTATGTAAAAATGAATATTTAGGGGAAGACAGGATAGATTCAAACAAAAATAACTTAATATTATGTGATTGAAGTATATAAAATATTAAGTATTGAAATATTAAAAGTATTATATAGCATTTAAAATAGCCATTTATGAAAAATATTTTTACTTTAAATGTATTCCAAAAATTTGGTACATTTGAATTTTTAAGGGAGATATTTTTATGTATTACTTATTATGTGTCTAAATAATAATGTTTCTCCGAGCATAACTCAAAAAATATGTATAATTAAAATATAAGATGTACAGTTATTTATAAAGAATAAGTTATAATTATATCTCTAAATTGAGTACTCTTCCTAAATTAGCGAAATCTACAATTACAAATTTACTGGTCTATTATACAGACTAGTATCAAATATTAGTCTAAGTGGCCGCGTTGATGCGGTTTATACTGACCTTAGAAAAGCCTTTGATAGTGTTGATCATCATATTTTAATTAAAAAATTAACATATCTAGGGGTTAGTAGACAAATACAATTATGTTTCTTATCTTACTTAGTTAATAGAAAGCAACAAATCAAAATCGGAAAGTATAAGTCTACGGTCTTAAACGTGTCATCAGGAGTTCCCCAAGGGAGACACCTGTCACTTCACCTATTCATCCTATTTATGAATGACGTAAATTTCTGTTTTCAATACTATAAATATCTATTGTTTGCAGATGACCTAAAGTTTTATTTGCCAATTGTAACATATTTTTTAATTGGTGCTAACGAAATAAACTATTTATTAATGCTAGTAAATGTTCACAAATCACTTTCATTTGCAATAAAAGTTACTCGATATGTAATTATAGATTAGATAATAATAAATTAAAAATAATTAATAGTATAAAAGATTTTGGTGTACATTATTTGTCTTTTACTGAACATATAACTTTTATTTGTAATAAAGCATCTAGAACCCTTGGTTTCATAAAAAGATATTACGGAGATTTTAATAATATAATTTGTCTAAAAACTTCATACTTTACCTTAATTAGGTCTACGCTAGAGTATGCTTCTATCATTTGGTCTCCCTTTCTAATGGGAGAAATAAAAAATAAGAGATCTATACAAAATAAATTTTTACGGATGTTATCTTATAAGTTAAATGTACATAGTAATTCACATGTCGATTATGGGATGTCAACCCTTCAAGCTAGAAGAAAATTTAATGATGTGAAGTGGATTTATAATTTATTATTTAATAAATCCCAAGATACTTTAAATAAAATCAATTTCCATGTACCTGCTACTAGTCTTAGAGAATCTTTCTTTTTCTATTTACTTACATAAAAATAGAATTATAGTCATAACTCACCACTTAATCACATGTTACTATTTTGTAATTCTTTACCAGCCTTTGATTTCCATCACCATAATTTAGCCATGTTAAAGAAAATAATACTTTAAATTTGCTTCTTTATATTTCATTTTTTCTGTTTTAAGGTCTTAGTAATATGTTTCTCTTATTATACACATATACTTATATATTGTTTTTATATAACGTATATTAACTGTACCCATTGCCTATATAGGCATTACTTTAACAATAAATAAAAAAAAAATAATTGCCTTGAATCATATTTAAATATACTTAATAAATTTAGTTCTTGTTAAAAATTTACTAAAATAAAATTTTGTATTATGTTTAGTTTTATTAAATTAATGAATTAATCCATTAATTTCATTAATTACTTTTGTAATTATTTGCACTATTTAAGTATTCAATGGTAGCAGTTGAGAAGAGTATATTTATTTATAGTTCATTTGTTACTAATTAATATGTTGCGTGATTATATTTACTAATTGTTATACTATTACACAATTCATATGTTTTATTATTATATGTTTTTATTAGAAATAACTTCTAACAACTCAAGGTTTGTTTCCTATAAATTGTTTTAAGAATAATAGATTTAAATGAATTATATATTTAATTTAATGTATTACTGTTTAACATATTTTGACAAAGCTTAAAAACATGTTTTTTTTTAGTATTTTGTTATTTGCAATTTTTTTCTTGTACTGATTTTTTTTTTAATATAAGTAATTTTTATTGCTTATTTTTTATGTATAATAAGTATTATAAACTTTATAGTTAAAGTATACATTTTTTTATGTATTAGAATATGTTGTAAAATGAGTAGTAAATCAAATTTCTTATTATAAACTCGTATAGCTAGTTAAACTAATTTTTTTTATAATCAATTTAATCCTTCAAAATAAAACCATCACTATATATTTGTACTTAACAACTAGTAGCTGTACTTTTATTATTTTATAATTCGTTTAAAATATTCAAACAGCCTAATATTAACGACTTATTTCCAAATGGGAAAATTAATTTAATTTGCTTTTATAGAACTCAGTATATTACTCTATATATAGTTATCGATATCCTTCAGGCAATTAAAACTCATTTAAGGAGATAGAGACAATATTTGGGCACATGTCGGGTAGATTCCGATTCTTGGTTTTTAACAAGATCTTTAAATATTAAACAGACCCTTAGCAATAGTGAACAAAAATACAAGCTAATAACCTCTTGATATTATTATCTGGTTGCGCCATTTAGTATTACATTTGGTTTTATACTGATACAAATTATGTAGATTTTGATTACAAAATAAAAAATAAATAATAAATAATAAAAAATAGAAAAATAAAAAGTATAATATAAATTATGATAAAATCACACTGCAATTAGAATATATTGTTTGACAGTATTAAGACATTTTATTTTTATTAAAATTATAAGTTTTTTTTATTATTAATACAACTCTAAAGCACAGTTTATTTTAACATGATAAAATATAATTATAAAATTGTATTTATAATTCGTAATTTATTGTAAAGTCAAGAAAGTGTTCTGCCAATGCAAATTTAGCGATCGTTTTAAACTTGTGTATGAATAGTTTACTAAAAATAATACATTTTTATGGGTAACCTTAAATATTTACTATATATTTAAATTTAAAAAATATAAAAAAAAAAATGAAATATGTGGGTGATCGTATTTATATATAAACCATTATAACAAGAAATTGTCTTTAGTTATTCAGAATTTAACACTTAGAATAAAAATGAAGGTGAGTAATACACTTTACCTAAAGTACTTGATAAAAATTTCAAAGATTATTTATTTTATTGTAGAATTGGCAAATTATATCTGTTCTGTTTATAATATCGTGTTTGATATTTAACGAAGGTAAATTGTATTTTACAATATTTACTCATATTAAATTTACTATCTAACTACTATAGTTTTTGTATATTTATTTAAAGCGATGCATATATGATTTATTTAACAATAGCTATGAAGTTATCCTCCTGGTTATACAGAGTGACCGATTAAAGTTATGATACCGATGATATGTTATACGACAATAATTTAAAATATTGTTCTAAAAATATTTTTCGAGTTATTTTTACTAAAAACTGCCATAAATTTTAGAAAAATGAATAAATGAAAATGTTTTTTTTTTTTTACATTAGGTCCACAATAATTAGGTTTACAGTAAGTCATTTTTACATAAGAGGGATTCAAAATGGCAACTTTTGCTAAAAACTTTTGAAAATGTTTCGGGAATTGTATAACTATAACTATAATTGTATAGTTATATAGGCTTGTTGTTATAAACAAATTTTTTTTTAATCATTATGGAACTTTGACGAGCTGTTTCACAAGAAAAATTTAATTTTTATCATCATCCCTTATACTTAGAACTTGTATCAACTTCAGAATTTCAAATAGCAACCCCATATTATTTTTATATATTTTTTTTTTTTGTCACAAAAAAAAAATAATAAAAAATTATGAATTTTAAATAAGATACGCTACTTTAAAATTTACGTTATTTGATGAAAAAATGTAGTAGTTTTTCTAGCACGGTCACATTATTGTTTTATGTAGCGATAGGAGCTACCGTTTACTGTGTCAACGCACGTAGTCAGAATAGCGCTTATTTATTTACGACATACAACGTTCGAGTCTGTTATAATTTTTTTTTAATAAACCTTAAACTTTAGAGAGCCGTGGAGCACTTATTATTAAATAAAATAAAATATTTTTTTTACAAAATATTTTTTTTTTATTACACTAAATCTAATGGTGTAAAAAAAAATAGGATTGCTATTTGAAAATTTCAATTTAATTTGAAGTTTTAAGCATAAGGGGTGGTGGTATAAATTTAAATTTTCTTGTGAAACACTCCATAAAAGATCCATAAAATATTAGGATAAAAATATATAACTTAACTAAATGCATTTAATATACACTAATACTATAAAAATAACTATTAACATAATTATTTCGATTAAGAAGCCAATTACATTAAAATAATATTACATTGAGAGTATATTTTGGTCTTTTCAATAAGAAAAGCTTCAATAGTAAGTATTTTTGGGTAATAGCAGTACATTCATTTAAATAATTATAATTAGTAGGAAAATATACACTAATGTAATAAAGGATATGTACGACACACTTATACCAGCCTAAAAAGTATGAAAAGAGTAACAGAAGATTTAAGGTAAGAATAGTAGTGCACCAAGATTCTGCTATAAGCCCTTACATATTTTCTATAGTGGTAGTTGAAATTACTAGAGAAATATTATGCAATGTATCGTGATGCATTTCGTTCGCTGAACTTGCAGTTTTAATATGAGAAAATAGAAAGGAAATTAATCATAGGCTAGAGGTGTGAAAATCAGCTTTTAAAAAAAAAGGGTTTCAGAATAAGTAGGAGTATAAACGAATGTATAGAGTACGAGTTTGACAAAGCATAACACAAAGTAGGTGAAATGAGGATATCAGTGATAATAAGCTAGGATGTGATATGAGAAGTAGATAATTTTCATTAGATATATTTTAAAGTTATATAGATAAAGTTTTAATACAACACAAGTTCATTAATAATTTTGCTTATCTAGCAATTCAAAATAAAAGTTCGGGTGACGAACAGACATGCCAATTTGAAGAAGGTATGACGAGAAAAGCTGCAGAAAATGGAAACTTAGAATTGTTAAAATATGCACATGAAAACAGATGTCTGTGGGATGAAAGCACAGCAGAAGCAGCTGCTTCTAGTGGTAATTTGGAATGCTTGAAATATGCTTTTGAAAATGGCTGTAAATGGGATAAACGTACAACGACTGCGGCTGCCAAAAGAGGTGATATAAAAATGTTAAAATATGCACATGAAAATGCATGTCCATGGAATAAGAGTACAACAGAAGCAGCAGCTACTAGTGGAAATTTCGAATGCTTGAAATATGCTTTTGAAAATGGCTGTAATTGGGATAAACGTACAACGACTGCGGCTGCCAAAAGAGGTGATTTAAAAATGTTAAAATATGCACATGAGAATGAATGTCCGTGGAACGAGAGCACAACTGAAGCAGCTGCTTCTAGTGGTAATTTAGAATGCTTGAAATATGCTTTTGAAAATGGATGTCCGTGGGATGATAGAACAACTACTGCTGGTGCCAGTAGAGGTCATTTAAATATTTTAAAATATGCATATGAGAATGAATGTCTATGGAATGAATGCACAACAGAAGCAGCAGCTATTAATGGAAATTTCGAATGCTTAAAATATGCTTTTGAAAATGGATGTCCGTGGCATGAGCGTACAACGACTGCGGCAGCCAAAAGAGGTGATTTAAAAATGTTAAAATATGCACATGAGAATGAATGTCCGTGGAACGAGAGCACAACTGAAGCAGCTGCTTCAAGTGGTAATTTAGAATGCTTGAAATATGCTTTTGAAAAAAGCTGTAAATGGGATAAACGTACAACTACTACGGCTGCCAAAAGAGGGGATTTAATTATATTAAAATTTGCACATGAGAATGAATGTTCATGGGACGAGAGCACAACAGAAGCAGCTGCTTCAAGTGGTAATTTAGAATGCTTGTAATATGCTTTTGAAAAAGGCTGTAAATGGGATAAGCGTACAACGACTGCGGCTGCCAAAAGAGGTGATTTAAAAATGTTAAAATATGCACATGAGAATGAATGTCCGTGGAACGAGAGCACAACTGAAGCAGCTGCTTCTAGTGGTAATTTAGAATGCTTGAAATATGCTTTTGAAAAAAGCTGTAAATGGGATAAACGTACAACTACTACGGCTGCCAAAAGAGGGGATTTAATTATATTAAAATTTGCACATGAGAATGAATGTTCATGGGACGAGAGCACAACAGAAGCAGCTGCTTCAAGTGGTAATTTAGAATGCTTGAAATATGCTTTTGAAAAAGGCTGTAAATGGGATAAGCGTACAACGACTGCGGCTGCCAAAAGAGGTGATTTAAAAATGTTAAAATATGCACATGAGAATGAATGTCCGTGGAACGAGAGCACAACTGAAGCAACTGCTTCTAGTGGTAATTTAGAATGCTTGAAATATGCTTTTGAAAATGGATGTCCGTGGGATGAAAGTACAACAACTGCGGCAGCCAAAATAGGTGATTTAAAAATGTTAAAATATGCACATGAAAATGAATGTCCGTGGGATGAGAGCACAGCAGAAGCAGCTGCTTCAAGTGGTAATTTAGAATGCTTGAAATATGCTTTTGAAAAAGGCTGTAAATGGGATAAACGTATAACTACTACGGCTGCCAAAAGAGGTGATTTAAAAATGTTAAAATATGCACATGAGAATAAATGTCCTTGGGATGAAAGTACAACAAGAGTAGCTGCTTCAAGTGGTAAATTCGAATGCTTGAAATATGCTATTGAAAATGGATGTCAGTGGCATGAGCGTACAACGACTGCGGCAGCCCAAAGAGGTGATTTAAAAATGTTAAAATATGCACATGAAAATGAATGTCCGTGGGACGAGAGCACAACAGAAGCAGCTGCTTCAAGTGGTAATTTAGAATGCTTGACATATGCTTTTGAAAAAGGCTGTAAATGGGATAAACGTACAACGACTGCGGCTGCCATAACAGGTGATTTAAGAATGTTAAAATATGCACATGAAAATAAATGTCCATGGAATACATGTACGACAAAAGCCGCGGCATATAATGGTAATTTAGAATGCTTAATATATGCTATTGAAAATGGCTGTCATTTTAATGAAATTGATGTTGTGACATATGCTATACATAGTGGTAATACAAAAATATTAAAATATGTTCACATAAATGGATTTGATTTGAATGAAGATATAACTAATTTTGTAGTCTCTTTAAGTCATCGTGGCATTATAAAATATGTCCTTGAAAATGGATATGCATGTGATATAGATACAACTTATACAGCTGCAATAAATGGTAATCTTCAATATTTAAAATATTTACATGAAAATAAATGTCCGTGGGATGAAAGCATAACAGAAGCAGCTGCATCAAGTGGTAAATTAGAATGCTTAAAATATGCTTTTGAAAATGGATGTCCGTGGGATGAAGGTACAACAGAAGCAGCTGCTTCTAATGGTAAATTAGAATGCTTAAAATATGCTTTTGAAAAAGGATGTCCGTGGGATGAAAGTACAACGACTGCGGCTGCCAAAAGAGGTGATTTAAATATTTTAAAATATGCACATGAGAATAAATGTCCATGGGATGAAAGAACAACAGAAGAAGCTGCTTCTAGTGGTAATTTAGAGTGCTTAAAATATGCTTTTGAAAATGGTTGCAAATGGGATGTGCGTACAACAACTGTGGCTGCCAAAAGAGGTTATTTAAGTATTTTAAAATATGCACATGAGAATGAATGTCCATGGGATGAAAGCACAACAGAAGCAGCTGCTTCTAGTGGTAAAATAGAATGCTTAAAATATGCTTATGAAAATGGATGTCCGTGGGATGAAGGTACAACAGAAGCAGCTGCTTCTAATGGTAAATTAGAATGCTTAAAATATGCTTTTGAAAAAGGATGTCCGTGGGATGAAAGTACAACAACTGCGGCTGCCAAAAGAGGTGATTTAAATATTTTAAAATATGCACATGAGAATAAATGTCCATGGGATGAAAGAACAACAGAAGAAGCTGCTTCTAGTGGTAATTTAGAGTGCTTAAAATATGCTTTTGAAAATGGTTGCAAATGGGATGTGCGTACAACAACTGTGGCTGCCAAAAGAGGTTATTTAAGTATTTTAAAATATGCACATGAGAATGAATGTCCATGGGATGAAAGCACAACAGAAGCAGCTGCTTCTAGTGGTAAAATAGAATGCTTAAAATATGCTTATGAAAATGGATGTCCGTGGGATGAAGGCACAACAGAAGCAGCTGCTTCTAATGGTAAATTAGAATGCTTAAAATATGCTTTTGAAAAAGGATGTCCGTGGGATAAAAGTACAACGACTGCGGCTGCTAAAAGAGATGATTTCAGAATGTTAAAATATGCACATGAAAATAAATGTCCGTGGGATGAGAGCACAACAGAAGCAGCTGCTTCTAGTGGTAATTTAGAATGCTTAAAATATGCTTATGAAAATGGCTGTAAATGGGATCAAAATATCATGAGAAGTGCAATTCTAAAGGGTTATCTAGTCATAATAAAATATCTTTACGAAAATGGATGTTTGTGGTGTGAAGGAACTCTGTGTGAAGCAGCTGCAAAAGGTAATTTGGAATATTTAAAATATGCACATCAAAATGGTTGCAAATGGGATGAAGGCACAACTCGAGCTGCTGCAACAAGTGGTTGTTTCGACTGTTTGAAGTACGCCTACGAAAATGGATGTATGTGGGATGAAGGGACAACTCGAGCTGCTGCTGCAAGTGGCTGTTTAGAGTGCTTGGTATATGCCCATGATAATGAATGTATTTGGGATAAAGATACAATAGTTGCAGCAGCTGTGCATGGTAAGTTAGATTGTTTAGAATATGCCCGTAAACATGGATGTGACTGGGTTGAAGGTATGATGAGAGGGGCTGCATCAAATGGACATTTAAATTGCCTTAAATTTGCTTATGAAAATGGGTGTCCCTGGGAGGAAGGCACAACAAGGGAAGCTGCTGCGAGTAGTTACATTAAATGTTTAATATTTGCACATGAAAATGGATATAAATGGGATGAAGGAACTATGAGTGGAGCGGCGGCAAATGGCAATTTAGACTGCCTAAAATATGTTCATGAAAATGGTTGTGAGTGGGACGAAAGCACAACAAGACTTGCTGCTGCAAATGGTCAACTTGATTGCATAAAATATGCACATGAAAATAATTGTCCATGGAGTAGTGGTACCATTTCTGCAGCTACTCGAAATGGTCATCGTAAAATAATTAAATATGTTACTAAAAACGGCTGTCCTAATTAATATTCTGATAAAATATTGTAATTTTTATTATATTAATCTATGTCAATTATATTATTTAAAATAAATTATTAGGAACCAATATTCAATATATACATTGCCTGAAAGAAACTAAAAAAAAATTCTCAATATTACATTTTTTTTTTATCATTAAAATTATCTGTGATAAATGAATCACTCGGTATATTGAGTTAAATATAATATATGTAGATATACGCTTCGTATAAGGCAGTAACTCACTTTTTCTAACTTTGCATTGATCAAAAATAAAATTTATCTCTGATTACACCTTATATGCTTATCAATATTCTAAATAGTTTGATTCCGACTCGAACCAAATTTTCGATATTTTGATTTAAGTAATTATAAGAAGATTAACCCTTAAATCTAAATATCTCACAATTTCAAAGTTGAAATTTTGATCTACTATAGTGTTGCGCATGACGATATATACAGAATGACTATTTTATAAAAATAATTTAAACATTTTCTTTTTTTTTTTTTGTTATCTTTAATTACATATTTTTCTTGAATTATTAACTATGTAATACTTTTTAAAATCATCCTTATACCTTCAAAGAGTATCAACTTTGTTTCTTTAAATGGGAATACATATTTTAAATTTAATAAAATGTTTGAACTTTTAATGAAATAGTACATAGAATTTGAGTTTTTAATATAACTTTATTCATTTATTAGATATAAACATTTAAAGTTTCAAATTTTTTAGTTAATATACATGCATAATACACAAGAGATTACAAATACAGGTAGCCAATTGTTTTTTTATGACGTCGATATTCGCAAGTACACAGCATTTATTATCAACGGCACTATAGCACATTTTTGTGAGTTTATTAATACACTTACATGCAATACAAATAGTAGTTATAAATGACAATAAACACTCCGTGACTTTAACAGCGACGTCATAAAAACCAATTAGCTACCTGTATAGAGATCGCTACACTACCCTCTTCTGTCTATAACCCATTTTTTCCTAAAAATCAGTTCTATCGAGGATTTTAAAAATTTCTCTCATTCTCCGTAAATGGCAGAAAACTCCAAAAAAATTACAAATTTAAAAATTGCTAATTTTCTACATTTTTTCATTTTTTTTTTTCCTTAAAACTGCCATCACTTTTTTCAATATAATTTTTTTTTATAGGTGCATAATGTCTTTACCTAACATTTGGTATATTTTTCTATAAATCTGACACTTTATCTGCTCACAGGGTGGATTTAACTTGTAAATTTATTCATAAATAGTAAACAATTTTTTTTTTAAGTATTCCATCAAGACCTTCAACTTTTATATACGTTTGCCATAAAAGTAATAACTACTTTATAATTTTTTATAAATTCTCCGTAAAAATTACAACACTAAATTATTAAATATCAATTTCATACCATATTTAACACGTTGACTGCCATCAGGGTCGTTTTTGCCCCTCAGTAGAATTTTTAAGTGAGCCATAATGGATCATTTAGTCCTTCACTGTTATCTTTGAAGACTCGTGGGGTCAAATAGCCCCTTAGTTACCGTCTAAATACCGTATCATCTGATTCTCCGCTATCAGTTTATTAAAATGTTTCAATTAGCATTTAAATATTTACATATAGGAGACACACCAAAACAGGCGTGGCAGTCAACGTGTTAATTGCTATGATAAATATTTATTCATATATTACACTTATAAATCATAGAACATGCAATCAGAATATAAATAAAGAAATAAGAGATCATGTAGTTTTTGGAATAATCTACCTATTTTTTAAAATTAAATACTATCTACAGTATTGCATCGAAATGTTTTTTATCATAGTGATTTTAATCACTGTCAAACTAAATCTATACTGGACCCAACTCGCTCGCTCCCGCCGATAATAAAATCAAGCACGTCCTCTCGTCAAAATTATGAAATTTTTGACGATATTTCATTTAATCTCGCCCACACCTCGACTTTAAGCCCTCGTACACAACGCAGGGCAAATTGTAATCCCTTCAAAAGCAATCACCGCACCCCCAACCCACAATCAGAGACACATTGTCTTTAAAAAAAATTAACCACGCGGCGAGAAAACAAAAGTTCTCGTATTATGTGGAAATAGCACAGTAATAATATGCAATATTTAAATATTTTTTTATTTTATTAAATATTTAAAATTATATTACAAATTAATGAATATCGATTTCATTTATGTAATATGTATATTAAAGTGGTCCTTAGTTATAGATTATGAAAAATTTCTTTTAGAAATTCCTTGGTCTCACCCCTCAAATTTGTTTATATACATGTAAAAACGAACCAAAAATATTCACGTCAATCAGACAAGTTTAACCCGTGCCTACTAGGGGTTGGAAATTGGACAATAGGGGTAGTTTTCTAGTGTTTTGTACTTAATTCGGAAATGAGTTATCATAGAAAAAAAATTATAGAATATAAATTGTTCACAACGTTACGGACTATAAGTTTAACTTTTACACAATTTTTTTTAAACTCATTAGTTTTCGAGCAAAATTTAAAATTATACTATATTTTATCGGTTTACCGAAGTTGGAATATTTACGAATACTACATTATATATGGCAAACATTTAGAGATACGAATACATCTTTTATACAAAAATAGTTTAATATTTAATTAATTTAATTTATTTAACAAATGCAGCACAAAAACCATGGTTTAGACTTAGCACCTCCCTCTCACCTCCAAAAACAATAAAAATACACCGTTGAAAAAAAAATGTATTGACATTAAGTAAATAAATAGACGAGCGTGCTCGTCTTGCAATACGAGAAATTATAATATTTTGTAATAAAGCAAGAATACCCATACAAGAAATTCAGCACTGT